TGCAGGCTTTTCTCTTAATTTTAAAATAATGAAAATTCTCTTTGGAAAACAAGTTCCTCCACAAAAAATGCAAATGGGGGACCTGCTAGATAAAGATTTAGCAGACTTGAGTTAGTTACATATATAATTAGCCTGGTTAAATACAGTTGGCCCTTCGTCTCTGTGGGTTCCATAGCTGTGGACTCAACTGAGGATAGGAAATTTTCAGAAAAAGAAACATAAAACAAAATGATAATATAGCAATAAAGAATAATACAAAAATACAGTATAACGACTATTTACATGGCATTTACATTGTATTAGATATTATAAGTAATCTAGAGATGATTTAAAGTATATACGGGAGGATGTCACAGTTTATATTGCAAATACTACGTTGTTTTATATCAGGGAATGGTATCTGCAGCGCGGAGGGGCTGTCCTGGAACCAATCCCCCCAATACCAAGGGACACTGTACAGTCTTTTATTTAACAGTAACACTTACATATGAGCCAGTTTCCTGCTGGATAGTTCATCACCCAGGTTTCCTGGGACTGCCCATGTGAAAGGGAAGGATGCCTTCCCCTGCCCCTCTGCAGCCACATCTGTAAACCTCAATTCTGCGGAAGGATTTAAATGCTGAGGTCAAAAGAAAGGCCAAACCAATCATTATGGGCAATGCCCTCCAGCTGCCAGAGTTGGTCTCCAGAGATATTGCTTTCATTATGTCATTCTCTTGCTAAGAACATGCAAGACTGTTTCTCAGCCTTCTGCCTTTAAATTTCCTCTGCCTAATCCCACTCAAAATTGAAGTTTCCTTCTCTGGATTCCTTATCTTCATCTGAACAGCCTGACATTCCTATACTGGTGTTAGCTGGTATGGTCTTCCCCTGTCTGGGGGGTCAGTCAGCTCCTGTGTTTCGGGACATGAAGCCTTTTCTTGCACATCTTTAAATCCCTCACAAACACCTGGCAGGGTGGGAGGCAAGGGCAGGGTTTGGAGACTGTGCAGCTTATACCGAGTGAGGGTCTCAGAGTAAGTTTGCAGTGTGTGTGCTGCCTGTCCTGGGTTATCCTGGTGAAATAACACAAACTTGGAGATCTAATGCCAGAGAGAACCAGATCCCTGGGATTAAAGACGAAAAAGGTAGACAAAATCAACATTAAGGGTGTACATGTTTTAATTTTAAATGTTTTCATTGTAAATGATAGCATCATTCCCGTGAAAATATAATGTGCTGTTTAAGGATACTTCTTTAAAATAGTCCAGTTCAAGTAACTGTGCATTTGCTAAGGAAAAATTCAGTGTGATTAGCTCGGACCAGGACCAGATAACTGAATTTCCAGACCCAGAAGCGTTAAAACCTGTCCCTCACACATCTTACTAACACATGCTGCAGTTGTGCTATGTGGGAACTTTGCTTTGACAAAAGCATTTTTTTTTAATGGACAATTTTTAAAAACTAGAAATTAGGCCAGAAAGTTCTAATATTCACCCTGACTATGTGTGACCCCTCTTAGAGCTTTTTAATTTATTTGTATTTATTTCTACATCGTTTACTCCATTCAACCTATCTGAATCATCCCCACCCAACTCAAGTCTTACTTCCACCGTGGAAGAGGGATGACTAACTCTTATTCAATGCCAAGTACTGAACGGATGTTTCACATGTGCTATCTCATTTAATTCTCCAAGGAAATTGACGGGCTCATGTAATCGTGTTACTCCCATTTCATAGATGAAGAAACTAAGGTCCACGCCTAGGCACTCAGAACTAGCAGGAATTTGAACTCGCATTCTAAGTCTCATGCCTTCTGAAAACCCTAGCTCTGACCCTGACCATGGACCATTTGGCTGGCTCCTGCCTCACCTAGTCATAGACTCCGAGAGTGTCTGTATCACATACTCCTCTGCCTCCCCATTGCTTCTTCCAGGCCCTCGCACATAGCAAGTGCCGAAGGAATGTTTGGTGGTGAAACAGTTGTTTTCTTTTTTGAAAGGGAAAGGGAATTTCTGTGTAATATCCTTGTACTCCAAGAATGTGAGCTCAGAAGGAAACCTGCCTCCAGTGTTCTTTTAAATACCAAGTTGTAGTACCCTCGATATTATCTAAGTTTCCATTTTGAGAAAAATCTATATACAAATTAACTTATTGCATATAATGTTTGGATTTATTATGAAAATGATTCAAGGGGCATAGCTCTTTTTGATTTATGGTTACTTTTTATTTTGTCTGAAGATGAGCAACTATTATGGGCATTATTTTGTAACAGGTAGAGTTAAGGACACAATCAGGAATGAGGCGTAGTTCCCGCCGTTGGGGTACTTCTAGATTATCAGGCAAAACAAGAATGTGGACAACTAGTCCTGAAAAAAGGAAAGAGTGAGGGAGGCAGCAGTTGAATAGGGCTGTAAGCTCTTAGGGAAGCAATTAGTAACTGCTCGTGTGTAGTGTGCTTTGGTAAGTAATAAAGCATTTAGTCGTGACATTAACCTTCAGATCATGAGGTTAAATGTATTCTCATGTCTTCACAGCAAGTTTATTTCTGATCGTGAAAGTAGAAGAAGTCTCACAAACAGCCATTTGGAAAAAAAGAAATGTGATGAATATGTAAGTATCATTATAATAAAATATGCTTATTTTTTAGCACATAAATTGAGATAGATGTTTTTAATGCATGGAACGTAGCACAAAAGCATAGCTGCCCCGATTCACAGGGTATTCCTCACCGCCTGTGTATTTTGTCTTATAACCCATTTTAAAAAACCCAACTGTTTCACTAAAAAATGATTTCTTGAATTTTATTTCCACCTTGCTTCCTAGCAATGCTTTAAAGGCTTTGGCCTGTTAAGCTTTCTTTGGGACTGACTTGATTAGTGTGACTGTCTGTCTCTTTGCAGATTCCAGGAACGACCTCCTTGGGCATGTCTGTTTTTAACCTAAGCAATGCCATCATGGGCAGTGGGATTTTGGGCCTCGCCTTTGCCCTGGCAAACACTGGAATCCTACTTTTTCTGTAAGTAAAGACATGAGAGTGCTTTTCATTTTAAAACTGTATTTTCCATATGTTTTTATTATTACATAGAAGAACTTAGAAATATTATATTTCCAAATAGTTTTTTTTTAATTAACAGGGCTAAGTTACTTGTACGTACTGTTATATGTATTGCTTGAGGGATTTTTGAAAAATGTAATTAATGCTTACAAGGAAAGGAAAGAGAAATGTCTTTTTATTGATCAAAAATACTGAAATAAGCCTATGTAAAAAGGATTAAAACATTTGGAAACACCATTTAAAAAAACATTTGGACTCTTTACCTATCACTTTAAATCTTAGCTAAACAGTCAAAATATTAAGAAATCTTTAATTCAGCAGTGACCACTGGGGCTTTTGGATGTTTGTGGCGTGTCCCTGTGTGCAAAGACAATCACAAATGTGTTTGTAATAAATATTTGCGAAGCAGAGAAACTTTCAGTGTTTTGAAGATGAGAAATTAGAATGAGATTCATTGCAAAGAAAACGGGAAATTTTCTTTTTAAATAAGTTCATCTCAAAGTGTTGGATGGGACCTTCCACAAATGTAGACAGGGCTTATTTTCACTTGAAGTAGCATTAAGACAGATCAGAGTTTGTTCCAAGAAAATCCTCACGAGGTCTCTGGACCCTTCTTCCGTGAGCATAGTGGTGGGAAATCCTCCTCTCCCAGGTCACCTTTCCTTCCCGACTCTACACCTATGCTCGCCATTGACCTCACTTAACAGTCTTTGTTGTTGGGTCCTTTTGACAGGAGCATCGTTTCCTTGGAAGTGGTGTCCAAAACAGCTACTAATCGTACAAATTGTGCATATTCTTTCAGAAAGACATAGGAAACTGAGATGGAAGAACATGACTAGCCATTCCATTGCTCAGGGAACAGAAATACCCTTGCACACATATTGTCATATTAGGGATTAATCGTCTTCCTTTTGTGTCTAGTGGGTTTGTGT